TGATGATGGTGGGATGATAATGGTGGGATGATGATGGTGGGATGATAATGGTGGGATGATGATGGTGGGATGATGATGGTGGGATGATGATGGTGCGATGACGATAGTCGGATGATGATAGTAGGATGATGATAGTGGGATGATAATGGTGGGATGATAATGGTGGGATGATGATGGTGATGATGCTTTAGACAGGAGTAGATCCTTACTCAGACTTTATTTATTATTTTTTTTCTTTTCGAAAAATTAATAAATAAAAGGATTTTATAAGTAGATAAGGTTTTCAGAAAAAGTGGGGTTTGAAACAAAAGTAATTATCGAGGGGAGGTAAGAGCAGGGCCAAATGAGGAGAGCAAATTGGGGAAGGCCAAATAGGAAAAGCAAAAATTTTGGAAGAGGGGGAGGGGGAGGGCAGAGCACATGTTGACAAGCAGATATGACGTAGAGGACATATTTCTCATGTGCGCTTGTCTACACATAACAACATGGGGAAGGACGAGGAAGGCGGACGATATGAACACATCTGCGGCGGACACAATACGTACACATATGCGTACATAAACGTACATAACAAACGTACCTACGTAGATATGGATACACCTGCACGCACACACGAATAAATGCTACCACTGCACGTGGAAAAGAAAATGGACGAACAACACATCATACTCACACGTAATAAAATGAACCCGCTTCGAGGTTTATGCTATGTTACTTAACAGGAGGAAATTTTCGATAAAAAAAAAAAGAAAAGAGATAAATATGATAATAAAATGGGGAAAAGAAATAATAAAGCAAACTTGTCATGATGTGTCTTCTCTCGCTATGCTCAGAGGAACAAAACACTGGCTCCACTACCGTTTGAGCCATTCGACTTGGCTTTGTTTTGCTTAACTTTTCTTTGCTTAACTTTGCTTTGCTTAACTTTGCTTTGCTTAACTTTGCTTTGCTTAACTTTGCTTAACTTTGCTTTGCTTAACTTTGCTTTGCTTAACTTTGCTTTGCTTAACTTTGCTTTGCTTCATTTTTCTCTGCTTCATTTT